TTGAAAAGGCATATGCGATTTTGCTGAGATTTGGTTTATTGATAGAGTTTTATGTGACAAAAAAAATTGTGTTGAAATGTTGTCCGATAATAATACATAGGCGTAGAACTTGATTTTTTGAATAATTGCACCTTCAAAAATTATACGCCAATGGAAGAAAAGGAGTTTGAGTGTGAAATTTAGATTGCGCAACTCATTTACTTTGAAAAAGGTACTCTTGATAAGACTCGATTGCTTACATGGTTTTGACGAAATTTGCATTTTAGTAATTTTAGAACAGAAACAATAATTATTAAAACACAAACTTTGTCAAAACCATGAGAGTAACTCGAGTGTTATCAAGGGTACTTTTTTGTAGTGAATGAGTACGCAATTCGAATCTCATACTCAAACCCCCTTTCTGCCATTGGCGTAGAATTTTTGAGGGTGTAATTATTTAAAAAATCAAGTTCTACGCCTATGTATTATTATCAGACAAAATTTCAACACCATTTTCATTGCCACATAAAACTCTATCAATATACCAAATTTCAGCAAAATCGCATATACCGTTTTGAATTTATATGGGAAAAACGATTTAAAAATTGTAACTTCAAGGCCCTCTGGAGCCCAAACGATGCAACTTTTGTACTGAGGTAGTTTTACTTAAATCGACTTATCTTGGTCTAGGGAATATGTGGTATGTTTTTGTAAATACCATTTACAGACACCCTGTATAGGAGGTGACCTCAATGCTCGGATAGATTCGAAACCTATTGCGAGATATACAAAGTGTTTCAGAACAATAACGTACCATGAATGCTACAGGGTGAACTAGTGAATAGTCCGATTCAAATTGACTTATCTCTTCATGAAATTGCACTGTGGAGCCGTGAGAGGGCAATGATCAATAATTTAATTTCTAGATATTCTTGAATATTTCATGCAACCATGAGAAATGTGACACATTGAGTATATTTTTGCGAATATTTCAAAAGTTGTCGAAGAAAAAGGTAGGTCAATATATATATATTTGGATATGGAATGCCTAGGACTGTCCAAAGGTGCTTAAATATACGGGGTGTTCCATTAGAAAAAAAAATTGACTGCCGTATCTTCTTGATGTCACCCTGTATAAAATTGCTGATAATGCCAATGGATTCTACGCATCATTCTATATGGATAAAATTTTGAAATTTTTCAATATCTCTCTCCATAAAGTACTCAGATAATAAAAACGAAATCGACAATTTATCAATTTCCCCCTGTATCTCTGAAATGAATGAAGTTATCAAAATTCCAATTGTTCCATTCGAGGTTTCTCTAAAATCGAACCCGTAACATGTATATCGATTTTTTGATAACTCCTTCAGTTACAGAGATAGCCTATGAAAACGCCCAATTTTGCCCACCCTGTACTTTATTTGTTTATAGCCACTATGAATTGGCAACGTTATGCATACGATGTGAGTGCATCAATATTTTTTAATCGATTTCACTCGAAAATGATACATCTTTTTTTGTGAAACGGTGTGGATTTTCAGAATAAGAGATTGAATTGTCAAAAAATATGCATGCGAAAAAGTTTGGGCGATATTTAATGTATTCCCACCCTGTATCATACACTCCTGAATGAAACTTTGAAATGATTTGATGTTCACCGCATTGGGCATGGAAAGTTAAGTTTTTGTACCAAATCGCAGTATTTTATCACTTGGCGTTTCGGAAATATTCAAGAAATATCATCTTCAGGAGACATTTCGCGACTGACGTTCATAGGAGCTTTTCTTAGGTATATAAAACTGACACAGCCGTTTTGGCACAATCAAATGAAAATCATCTAGTATTTAATAACTATTAATTAACTATTTTTTAACACCAATCCGAATTTTTTAACTCAAGCGGTTAGCGAAAAAATGGTGTTGGGCCAGCTTAACCTCAAGCTAGCACAACCGTTTCACAATTTTCCACCCAAATGAGTTATGGACATGATTCAAACGCTGAAATTTTTAACTTTTTAATAACTTTCGAATGGTGTATCGATAATTTGAATTTGAGCAAATTTGAATATTTTTAAAAAGGACAAATATGCAATAATACCTAAAATGCATGTACATTTTTCATGTAACTTTTCATGCAATTCTCAATCGCATTCTTTCAGCAGAAATCAACAGATTATGATTATTGATTATATGTTTTCCGAAAATAGTACAGTTGTGATGGGAAATATTCAAAAGAAAATGTATTATAAAGACAGAAAATCGCAATATGACTAAGGAGTGATTTCGTGGATCTGATATTTAATAACTTCAGCACAATCAGTCGGAATTGGGAGAATGTGGTTTCAGATGATATATTTTTCAAGAATTGTATAGTTGTGATGGAAAATATTCCGAAAGAAAAATTATTATAACAACATAAAATGGTAATATGATGCCCAAAGAGTGTTTTCGTCGATCTACTATTTAATAACTACAGCACAATCAGTTAAAATCAAGAGAATATGAATCCAGATGATATATTTTTGGAATATAGTACAGTTGTGTTGGGAAATATTTGAAAGAAAAATTATTATAAGGACAGAAAATGGCAATATGATGACTAACGAGTGTTTTCGTGGATCTAATATTTAATAACTTCAGCACAATCAGTCGGAATTGGAAGAATGTGGTTTCAGATGATATATTTTTCAAGAATTGTATAGTTGTGATGGAAAATATTCGAAAGAAAAATTCTTACAACAACATAAAATGGCAATATGATGACCAAAGAGTGTTTTCGTTGATCTACGTTTTAATAACTAAAGCACAATCAGTTAAAATTAAGAGAATATGAATCCAGATGATATATTTCTGGAATATAGTACAGTTGTGTTGGGAAATATTCGAAAGAAAAATTATTATAAGGACAGAAAATGACAATATGATGACTAAGGAGTGTTTTCGTGGATCTAATATTTAATAACTTCAGCACAATCAGTCTGAATTGGAAGGATGTGGTTTCAGATGAAATATTTTTCAAGAATTGTATAGTTGTGATAGAAAATATTCGAAAGAAAAATTCTTACAACAACATAAAATGGCAATATGATGACCAAAGAGTGTTTTCGTTGATCTACTATTTAATAACTACAGCACAATCAGTTAAAATCAAGAGAATATGGATCCAGATGATATATTTTTGTAATACAGTTGTGTTGGTAAATATTTGAGAGAAAAATTATTATAAGGACAGAAAATGACAATATGATGACTAAGGAGTGTTTTCGTAGATCTAATATTTAATAACTTCAGCACAATCAGTTAATATTGAAAGAATATGGATCCAAATAATATATTTTTCAAAAATAGTACAGTTGTGTTGGTAAATATTCAAAAGAAAATGTATTATAAGGACAGAAAATCACGATATGACTAAGGAGTGATTTTGTGGATCTGATATTCAATAACTTCAGCACAATCAGTCGGAATTGGAAGAATGTGGTTTCAGATGAAATATTTTTCAAGAATTGTATAGTTGTGATAAAAAATATTCGAAAGAAAAATTCTTACAACAACAAAAAATGGCAATATGATGACCAAAGAGTGTTTTCGTTGATCTAATATTTAATAACTTCAGCACAATCAGTTAATATTGAAAGAATATGAATCCAAATAATATATTTTTCAAAAATAGTACAGTTGTGTTGGTAAATATTTGAGAGAAAAATTATTATAAGGACAGAAAATGACAATATGATGACTAAGGAGTGTTTTCGTAGATCTAATATTTAATAACTTCAGCACAATCAAATAATATTGGAAGAATATGAATCCAAATAATATATTTTTCCAAAATAGTACAGTTGTGATGGGAAATATTCAAAAGAAAATGTATTATAAGGACAGAAAATCACGATATGACTAAGGAGTGATTTTGTGGATCTGATATTCAATAACTTCAGCACAATCAGTCGGAATTGGAAGAATGTGGTTTCAGATGAAATATTTTTCAAGAATTGTATAGTTGTGATAAAAAATATTCGAAAGAAAAATTCTTACAACAACAAAAAATGGCAATATGATGACCAAAGAGTGTTTTCGTTGATCTACTATTTGATAACTACAGCACAATCAGTTGATATTGAAAGAATATGAATCCAAATAATATATTTTCCAAAAATAGTACAGTTGTGTTGGGAAATATTCGAAAGAAAAATTATTATAAGGACAGAAAATGACAATATGATGACTAAGGAGTGTTTTCGTGGATCTAATATTTAATAACTTCAGCACAATCAAATAATATTGGAAGAATATGAATCCAAATAATATATTTTTCCAAAATAGTACAGTTGTGATGGGAAATATTCAAAAGAAAATGTATTATAAGGACAGAAAATCACGATATGACTAAGGAGTGATTTTGTGGATCTGATATTCAATAACTTCAGCACAATCAGTCGGAATTGGAAGAATGTGGTTTCAGATGAAATATTTTTCAAGAATTGTATAGTTGTGATAAAAAATATTCGAAAGAAAAATTCTTACAACAACAAAAAATGGCAATATGATGACCAAAGAGTGTTTTCGTTGATCTAATATTTAATAACTTCAGCACAATCAGTTGATATTGAAAGAATATGAATCCAAATAATATATTTTTCAAAAATAGTACAGTTGTGTTGGTAAATATTTGAAAGAAAAATTATTATAAGGACAGAAAATGGCAATATGATGACTAACGAGTGTTTTCGTGGATCTAATATTTAATGACTTCAGCACAATCAGTTGAATTCGGAAGAATATGAATCCAGATGATATTTTCTTCGAAAATAATAATTATGATGGGAAAAAACCGAAAGAAAAATCATTATAAGAAAATGCAAATATGATGAATCCATGCTCATATATATGAGAATGTCAGAAAATGAGAATCATTGCCTGCTTCTTCAATTATATTAGTAAACCCCTTTTTCGTTGTGATAAAGTAATAGAGGATTGGTTTAGTTTGATATAATGAAAGAGTACAACATCGAATAATTATTTTTTAATTTTCAACATTATTGTTAGAGCTGGTTGAACCAACGTATTCGCCGTCAAACGACGACTACTTCCTATCAAGTCATCGTATTCGACCCAACAACGATCTGCCCTTCTGTAAGATATAGCTGTGTAATGTCCCATATAGTCGTTTTTTGCAGATCCTCTATAATTAACTATTCCAACCAGTTTAAGATGGACATTATCTTCATCAGGTATGTTGATGGAGAGTGGGAGAGATTCTAATTTAATTTTTCTGAACATCTTGAAAGTATCCACATCGAACACAACAATATCACCTGAAAAATTGTATATAGATAATGTGAAAATAGAATATAATGTGTGAAAATCGCAATATAATATAAAAGTAGCATAATGTTCTTGGTAGTAATCAGGGAGTTTATAGAGTTTTTTATCTTTATTTCTCAATAATTACGATTCATTATTTCTGTCGATATCTCCAGTGAAAAAACTCAGATTTCTTGAGCTTTATCACTTTCGGTAGGAGATATACAGGAATGTTCACAATAATAATCTTCGAAAATAAACAGTTGTCTTCAAATATGGAACCTCGGACCGAATATGAATCTACTACAATATTATCCGAATTCAAAAGGAAAACATTCGATTCGCAGATTAATACTAAATTATCAAGGTACATACAATATGATGAATGCGATTTTGATATATTACAACAAATACCCTGCACGTATAAATGGCCTGAGTACTAATTTTCAATAACAATTTCAGTTATTTTGTTATATTTTTATCATCCAACGAATGAAAGAAAACACTATCTATGCAGAGCCTCGCACAACGAAGTAAAGACTCGCAAGCACGTTGAAAACTACCTCGTTATCGCATCTCGATAATCGAGTTGTCAAATCTTTCGCGTGAAATGTACTGGTTTTCTATAATATCCACGAACACCTACGCAAATGAAACAAAAATGTATTCTTCCATTTGTTTTGTTTTTTCGTCTTCTATTGCCCATTACAAGGCTCGCTCCAATTTTCGGAAAACCCTGTATATTCTATTTTATATAACATACTAGCTGACCCGGCAAACGTTGTTTTGCCATAAAATTATTTCTAGAAAAAATGTTTTTACATAAATATTTATCAAATAACCGAGCAAATAACTCATCATTTTATCTAAACAGGATGTATCTAAATAACACCGAAAAAACTCAAGGGGTGATTCCTTGTGACATTCTAGCAAATAAAGTTCATATAAACATGTATCCTAACTTGCTCCGTTTTTGAGATACAGGATGTTGAAGTTGGAAGTAGCAATTGTTTTTATCTTCAACCTTCCTGTATAAACTTTCATGGTGCCAAAATTCAGTATGGTTGCAGACTGAGGAAGCCCTAAAATTTCAAAATGATTCTGATCGGGGTTATTGAGTAATCTCGATGGTAGTCTTGAAAACACCTACAGTAAAATTTGGAGTTAAATCGAATTTTATTGTTTTCTCAAAAAATTAGCTAGATACGAAAATTACACAAAGGAAAAAAAAAGTTGTTATTTCAATAGTTCAACATAATAAAAATATGAAACTCAGAAGTACCCGCGGAGTACAATGACATTCACGATGAATATCGATAAATTTTTTCACTGTGACACCACTGGAAATATTATTTCGAATCCAATTGCACCAGAAGAAGCTCCATATTACTGTTCACAAAACCACAACGTTTTATTGAAATTGATGGGAAGACAATTGAGTAATAAAATAAAAAACGATTTTTCATGGAAATTTCGATACCCTATATCTCGAAAACGAAGCAAGTTAGGACACATGTCCATATGAACTTTATTTCCTAAAATATCACAAGGAATTGGCCCTTGAATTTTTTCGGTGTTATTCAGATACACCCTGTATACTTCTTTTTAGTTCGACTATCCATGAAAACCGGATTCTTCAGTTTTTCAAACTATTCTACTTATTCTCTACTTCTTTTCAGTTCGGCACTCTATATCTCTTCATTTTTTTATCTATTTACTACTCACTTCTTCTTAGTTTGACTATCTATAAAAACGTGTTTAATTATTTATTACAATAGCTGATGCTGATACCTGGCACACGTTGTTTTGCTATATACATTTTCTTCTAGAAAATATTTTTTCAGTTGAATAATCATCAACACACTTATTTTATTTTGTTTTGAACTTTTTTTTAGTTTGGATATCCATGAAATCTTGTTTCAATAGAATTTCAAACTACTATTTTTATTATCTACTTCTTTTTAGTTCGACAATCTATCTCGTTTTTTAAACTATACTATCAATTGTCTACTTTTATTCAGTTTGGTCTCGATTTTGCATAGCTATCTATAAAAGCGTGTTTCATTATAGTTTTGCAAACTACTATTTATTACAAACCTCTTTCACCATATTGGATCCGCTATCTTGGATTTCCCAATTTTAAAGAATAAAATCATAATCTCCGACCCCGAAAACCCCCCGTCCGCCAAATTGGATCCTCTATTTTAAATTTCCTAATTTTGATGAAAGAATCATAATCTCCGACCCGAAAATCACCCAGATACAAAATTTGAATGGAATCGGATCATAGTTACAAAACTCGTCCGCCATATTGAATCCGCCATTTTGAATTTCCAAATTTTGACGAACGAACCATAATCTCCGACTCCGAAAACCCTCAGATACCAATTTTGAATATAATTGGACCATAATTACAAAACTCGTCCGCCATATTGGATCCGCAATTTTGATATTCCTAATTTTGATGAAAAATCATAATCTCTGACCTCGAAAACCCCCAGATACCAATTTTGAATGGAATCTGACCATAATTACAAAACTCGTCGGCCATATTGGATCCAACATTTTGAATTCCCTAATTTTGATGAAGAAATCATAATCTCCGACCTCGAAAACCCCTAGATACCAATTTTGAATGGAATTTGACCATAATCACAAAACTCGTCCGCCATATTGCATCCGCCATCTTGAATTTCCAAAATTTGACGAAATAATCATGATCTCCGACCCCGGAAACCCTCAAATACCAATTTTGAAAAAAATCGGATAACAATACTCGTCGCCATATTGGATCCGTCATCTTGAATTTTCGATTCAAAAAATAGATTACGACCGATTCTCATACCTACCGAATACGCACAAAAAATTTCATACGAATCGGTCGAGCCGTTTCGGAGGAGTTCGACCACTAACACCATGATCGGGACAGGAGAATTTTATATATTAGATTAAATTGTCCGTATGCTGTGGACTAGTCAGTAATGTCTTATAGGATTGGGGAAACAAAACCTATAATCATTCATATCATATCTTTACGTAAATGTGTGACATACCTGTAACTAAATTAGATTTCACTCTACCATCACAGTTTGTATTCGGACAATCAGAAAAGTGATTGAGTGATATGCAATTATTTATCAAATTTTCCCTGTCGTCACACAAAAGATTCCTCCTTGAGATACTGAAAGCTGGAAAATATTTTATTCTAGGTTGACATCCTTTGTCGCACAAAGAAATTTCCTCGAAACTTGGTACGTTTTTCAGGAGGCCACGAGACAGTGTCCCAACATTGGTTTCGCAGTCCATGAGATATAAATCAGATATATTGGGATGGGGTTTTATTGAATGAAGTTCTCTCAAGATATTGGCTCTCATCTTGTAAGTTTTGTTAGTCACCCCATTTCTGCAAACATCTTGAATGAGTTTGAAAATACCCACTTCTTCCACTTGTTCTCCTACCTTCATGAAAAATAAAATAGGTTGGTTATGTCATCGGAATGATATATTCATGCTTATACAGACGATTGACGTCTTATGAATAGTAAAAAGTTGATAATTGAATAAGTGAGGGAGAATGAAATGAATTTGTGGAATCTTATCTGCCGAGTCATTTCAAGATATTTGAAAAAAGTGTATTGCGCCCTGATAATATATTTTCAGCGTATACATACATGGCTGTTATCGAAATGGCATTTTTTTGTATCCCCAAAAAATATACAGGATGTCCCGAAATCGCATAGGAAAATTTCAACCACAGATTCTTAGAACAAAAATAATACAAATGCTCATATAAACATGGGTCCAGAAATTGCCTCCTGGGGTGGGGGGGGGGTATAGTCATCTAAAGGAGGGCTCCAGATGATGGTTTTAGAATGATAAAATAACCAAATTTTGTACATGTACCTTACTTATTATGCCCTATTTGAAAATGTTAAGAATTTTCCGAAATTTTGATCAAGGGCATCGGGAATAGGCTGAGCTAGGGGCACTTTTCCTCTCAACTTTTCTAATGCAATTTTCGGCAGTTTGATCAGGAAATATGAAAATCTCAATATTTATTTTTTCTTAATTGTACTAAAAAACTAAACAAAAATAACAAGTTTCGATAACATTCATCATTTTCGAGATAAACTGATTTTCAAATTCTGCTGCGTAATAAAAATAGTGCTTTTTCCTCAATGAGGTACCGAATTTTCCCAAAAATTATTGTTCGATGGAAAATTTCAACATCTACTCTTGATGTTTGATTTAAAATTTGGGGGGCGCAATAAAACTACTGAATTGAAAAATTATATGGTAGGTACCCTATTAAGGAAAAGTACTATTTTCATTTCGCCCATGATCAAAATATCAGCAAACTCTCAACATTTGAATAGTGAGGGATTGTACAAATTTTGGTTATTTCATCACAGAGTGTTTCGAAAATATTTATGAAAAACCATCATCTTGGCCTCCCCTTTATATGGCTTTAACTTCCCGGAATGCCATTTCTGGACCCATGTTTATATAAATTTGTTTTATTATTTTCGTTCCTGGAATCCCAAGTTTGAAATCTTTCTATGCAATTTCGTGACACCCATAAATGTAGATCGATCTGAATTTAAATTTGATGAATAATTATATGAATAAACGTATAATTATTACCGCATCAATAATAATTCAAGCCAGTGTGAAGTATATGAAGAGTTATGTAAATCCATTTACTTACTTTTTGACACATGGTTTCAAAATCATAGGTTGCAGTCAAAAGTAAATGGAAAATACTATCAAAGGCGCAGGTGTTCGTGAGGGTCACCTTCTTTCCATCTACTTTGATCGATGCCAAATCCATACTGTTAGCATTTTTCAACATTGGGATCGATGCATGTTTTTCATGTGATATCTTATCTTTGATGGCAGTTTTATTATTTCCCAAATATAACGATTTTCTTTTTCGGTTTTGTCTCTGCTGAATATTATTATTTTCTTCTCCTTTATTTCTCCAGTTTTCGAATTCTCTGAGATCGAGAACTTGTTTCAAATTGCCTCCTTCGAAACACAAGTTACATACCCTTAACGTTCTGAGATTGCCATTGCTCACAGATTTTGAGCAACTTTCAGTGATGTGCACCTTTCTTCCACACACAATGCATTCATGTGTTCCACTGATAGGTAGATCACAATCACCACACATGGGAGAGTTTTTATCGGAAATTGAGACTTGGTCGATAACTGGATCCTCGTTAATAATATTCTGAAATGAATCCAAATCTTTCAAAATATTGTTCGCAACGGGTTCCTCCCGAGGTTCCTCCAGTTGGGTGTTGATTATATTAATATTGCTTGAGTTTCTCAGAGTGTGCTCTTCTATTTTGACATCAACCAATTTCATTTTACCACTTAAATAATCTAAATGTCTTCTGACAAAACGATCTACCCTCAGTGGAAGTTCTCTTTTTGCGAAAATTACATTTTTCAGCTTATTGAACTCTCCCTCGATAGGAGCACTTGAAGCTGTCTTGCCATCCGGAAGGCCAAATGTCTTATTGCATACACAGGACCACATGGGATATAGGGTTAAATCTTTTATTAAATATTTAGCTAGCTTCTGCTCAGCAACAAAATGAGCATTTTCACGATCCCCCTGTTCCTTTATCGATAAATTTATAGAGTTGTTTAAAGATTCTGCCCACTTCGTCCACAGGTTGGAAGTAATTTTATTCTTACTTGCCTCTACATCGTTTATTTCTTGTTCCTCCTGAGTTTTTTCATGTTCCTCATCAGTTGTACTGCAGAGTTCCAAAAATGATTCTTCGTCCTGAAATTCTGTATCAAAATATTCATTAATTTCAAAAAATATTAGAGGACGAACATTGAGGAGGCGTACTCCCAAATGGAAGTGATACCCAGGCGAAATTCGCACCAGCCTAATAATTATATTTCATATTCAGTATAAGTATTCGTATGATCGTATTTACGAAAACTATAGGTATATTCAAAGAGAATCTGGAATTTTCTGATTTGCTCTAACTACACATATTATTAAAATCATACTGATATTTTAATATTCAGAATCGAGGCGAGAGAAACTCAACAACTTATAGAGAAATGACTATTCCATCTCCTCGATTAACCTAAGAAAGTAATTCAAATGATAATATCATCTATACCTGTTATTAAACGTTTCAACATGATCTTCGCATCTTCACAAGCAGTGTTTTTGCCGCAAGGTAATGTCCCTTCAGTTTCCGATTGGCTGACTATTAGAATGGCTTTGATGAGAGTTTCTGCATCAGTAATATTGGAACATTTTATGAGTTGCCCAATAGACGCCAAATAAAATGTTTTTACTCTCCTTGGCACCATCTTTAGTAGAGAACTATATTTTTTCAAAAAATGGGCAACATCTATTCGAATGTAAACCTTGATTTGCTCATGATTCTTCAGAGCATCAGCATAGTCCTCTATTGATGGTAAAGCTGTAAAACTCCAAAGCTACTGTGTGGGACATTTCCGATAACATATGTGCAACTGTAAATTGTCCAGAGGTAGTATTAACCGCGATAGCGTGAAGAAATATATGTCTTGGAGTCCTGAAGCTTGGCTCTTTCAGTTTCCTCACAACACTACCAGTACTGTCCAGGCATACACAGACGTTGCCAGCTGCGCAAATACTTTTGTATGCTTGGAGCTGTTGATTTGTACTATATTGAACAAAAAATGGATCAAGTCCAATATCTTGAATTAAATTTGAATACCCCCCGTATTTCATCATGACTAGAGCTTTAACAGGATCTGGATCCAAGTACTCTCTGGCAATATGTTGGCTTTTAGCTGTTCGTAAAACATTAGAGCTAGGAATTATGGGTGGTTCTTGATCTCCAGGAAGCATTAATTCATCCGCTCTTTCAGCACGATATAATTCTACGCTCTTGAGCTCAAGTGCCGCGCAAACTGTGCTCCTTAGTGGCTCTCGTAGCCACCTCTTGCCACATTTTCCAGATCCTAAGGTCACCTTAACTGTGGCCATAACATTTTTAGAAAGAGGAATCTCATCAAAATCACATTTCATAATGCTGCCACATTTGCAATAACCTGAATACAGAAAAAAAATCAGAAAAAGATATGTTTAATTCTTTTGTTTTGATATTTCAGTACCCCTAGAGTACATATTGATTTCCTGCAAGAAATACATAGATTACACCTCCCTAGATACCAAAGAAGCTAGCTAAGCCACTTTCGAATTTCAACATGAGACATCTCATAATTTTAGGCTCATTTTAGGAAAATTTATTACCCCATTCCCGAATTTTTTCCTCCCTATCATAGAAAAATCTGTGGCTTTGCTAGCTTCGGCCGAACTCAGCAAAGCCATTTTTGAATAACAATATTTTTTGAATATCTGATATAGTGAGAATGTAGTGCTCATTTTAGGCTAATTCATTACAACATTCCCAATTTTCTTGCTCCTCTCTATCATAAAGAAAAATCTGTGGCTTTGCTAGCTTCGGCCGAACTCAGCAGAGCAATTTTTGAAAACATAGATTTTACACCGATTTGATGTATTGAGATTAAAGGGCTAATTTTAGGCTAATAAATCACCAAATTTTCGTATTTCTTGCTCAACGTTTCAAACAAACAAAAATACAAGACAATTTGTCGAAATACGCGTTATTCACAGTACATTATGTATTTCTATCAAAAGCATCTTTTATGACGATTTCATGAGGAAAAGTGTTAGTATTGATTGTAAGCTTGATAACTATCCCATTTTTTAATTTTTTGCTGCATATTTTTTATAACAAACCTGTCGCTTTGCTGGCTTCTTTAGTATGCTGAGGTCGCTTGAAGCATAGACTTGGAGCTAGCAAAGCCACAGGTTTCTTTTAAAAATTATGCAGAAAAAAAATTCAAAATGGGATAGTTATTGAGTCTACAATCAATACTAACATTTTGTCGTGAAAAATTGTCATAAGATATGCTTTTGATAGAAATGCATGATGTATAGTGAATTAACGCGTATTTCGACGAATCGTTTCGTGTTTTTGTGAAAAATATATTATTTTCAAAAATGACTCTACTGAGTTCGCCCGAAGCCAGCAAAGCCACAGATTTTTCTATGATAGGAAGGAGCAAAAAATTCGGGAATGGGGTAATAAATTAGCCTAAAATGAGCCTAAAATTATGAGATGTGTCTCATGTTGAAATTCGAAAGTGACTTTGCAAGCTTAATTGGTATCTCCTCTAGGCTACATCCTTCTTTGCTTACCTCCCTCATTGGGAATCGTCTTGCAAATAGCATCAGTCAAAAATATACCAAACTCATTTCTTGTCAAAGAACAAACGAGTGATGTGAATAAATCAATAAATCAACTCCCAAAAAACCTATGAGGTTCCACTAACATCATTAACGAAGCTTTCTACGACATATGTATATAGAAACTTTTTTTTTCATTCCAATTGACGCCCTAGGTAACAGTCTCCTTTTGAAATCTTCATCGCGCATTTTTTTGTTGAAATGTTTGACATTATTGATTGAAATGAATGTTTTCTTGTGTGACCGAATTATTCTGAAAATTTAGATTTTTTTTCGGTGACTGTAAATAAAAAACCCTTGAGCACTCATGGAGTATCAATTTGTCCTCAATTTTGTCATTTCGTGTTATGATCATTTCCAATTATTGTTCCCAAGTAATGGATACCGTCATCTCTGAAACTTTTGTAAATTATTGATTAGAGGTTAATAGCCCAACCCAAGCGTTTGCTTTCGGCGAGATCCCAAGCACCGGAAGTATCAATGACTTTTTTGCTTTGTTGCCGGACGGTCAATGAAAGTTGAAAGATGTATTATGGTGGAAGCGCACATTTTCTTGTGATTTATCATGTCATTTTGTCTCATAGTACACCTCAGTCCATTCATTACCACAATTTCACAAACACACTGTATATTGGTATCAGAATGAAAGCAGTGTATGGAAAATGTCGGTTCAATTGGCTTTCGGAAAGTGATCAAGTTTATATCACTAAATTTGACACATTACCCATACAGAATTTCGAATAATTGAAACGATTGAACATCGAATATAAGTAGTGGAAATTGGAAACTATCATGTTTTTTATACTAAGTTGATTCATCTCATACCAATTGGACTAGCATGGAAATATTGGATTGTTTATTCCGAGGTTTATTCTTTCTGAATATGCGCATTGACATGATGTTGCCAAGTCGAATTTTCACCTTTATATTGACTATTCTATTGTGTATAGATTGCTGATTTTTTGTCTCCTGCATAAAAGGGTAGGTATATCACAAATTTCGATACATAGATTTTACAAAATAATTGATACTCACCATCAAATCGTCCCGCATTCCTGTCTAGATTGACATAATGGTTCTTGAAGTTGAAACCGCAACCCAACCGAGCTGTTTGCCATATCAATTTCGACATGTAGTTTTCCCATTGACCTTTCTTGAAAATCCGCCACTGTTTGTATTTTTGGTTCCACTTTCGTTGAGAACATTTATAAACAGTGGTTGTGGTGAGGTCATCGAAGTCAGTACCAGATATGAACATTGCAAATTCCATTTTTCCCAGAGAACTATTAAGGCTATCGTCGATAGTGTCTTTTGAAAAATTTTCCGAAAAACTAACATTTTCTGAGAAACTATCGTCATCATCATTTATCGGAATAAGTGTTTCCTTCCTGTCCCCTAATTTTTCTAATATTCCATATTTGTTAACGGTAACCATTGAATATAATGATGAAATTGTGAGATCATTATTCAGAGTGATTGCAATATCACTCCAAACCTTGTTAGATCTGGGCACGATTTGATTATCGATCACAATACTATTTTTAAAGTTTATAACTGCATTCATAAATCTCTCCCTATCACATTTTGGTGGACGTCCTCGTGAAAGCGACATCACAAACACAATAAGAACTATCTATGAGAACGTGTATCCACTACAGAAAAATATCAAAATAGTCAAATTATTACCTACGAAATAATTATTAAATTTACGAACGAGACACTTGTTAAGCTAAACGCCGACACACGTGCGATAGACAAGTGTAAGGTGTATGGATGTCTGGAGTCTGGAATGATGGTAGCTGAATCAGATCAGGCGGGAAGATTTTCTGTTGGTTGAGAGTTTCCATGCGTAATAGCACTAATAGATAAACTCTTCCACGCCAACAAGTGACAATCATTCTAAAGTGCCCCTCAATCAATGTGGACGCTTGAAATTTTAACTCGATTTTCACGGTTATAATTTCCGAAATAATAATGAACTAACAATTCGATTTTTCAGATCATAGAGGCTTATGCCATTGTCTTGAACACGATAATTTCAATAACCGTAAAACGAAAGGATATATATAGGAGAATTGGAGTGACTCCATTCAGTTCAAAATATTTTCTGCTTTTTTCTTCTCTCGTGCTATATCATCACAGTGGTGTCAAAAAGTTTGATGGCATATCTCGGAATGGTTTTTGTCTTTATTAATTGATTACGATGTTCCTTTGATATGATTTATTTATTGAGAAATGTGTATGTGTCAGGATAGTAGGTATATTGTATAATAATAGTCATTTCTATGAATTCAAATCATAAACGAGTTGATAATAAGCATTATGTGCGATTTGCACACTATGCTTTCCCTACGGCTGTAACAGATAATTCCGATTTTTTTATTTATTCTGCTTTCTGCCATCTGAATTTCTCTTTTGAGTAATGTCCTATTTAGACAGAACTATCATTGCTCGAAATTTGACATTTCATGAGAGATGACATTTATTGTGAAATAATAACACAATGAAGTCATTGTGCTATCAAATCGTATCAAATATGGGAATGGAATTGAATATATACAATGCACCTCATTGATTTATGGAAAACAGTAAAACAAGAGCAACATAGTGTTATAGCCGTAGAAAAATAGTACCTATTTGCCATCGTTATTGAATATTAGATCCACGAAAACACTCGTTAGTCATCATATTGCCATTTTCTGTCCTTATAATAATTTTTCTTTCAAATATTTCCCAACACAACTGTACTATATTCCAAAAATATATCATCTGGATCCATATTCTCTTGATTTTAACTGATTGTGCTGTAGTTATTAAATAGTAGATCGACGAAAACACTCTTTGGTCATCATATTGCCATTTTATGTTGTTATAATAATTTTTCTTTTGAAATATTTTCCATCACAACTATACAATTCTTGAAAAATATATCATCTGAAACCACATTCTTCCAATTCCGACTGATTGTGCTGAAGTTATTAAATATCAGATCCACGAAATCACTCCTTAGTCATATTGTGATTTTCTGTCCTTATAATACATTTTCTTTTGAATATTTCCCATCACAACTGTACTATTTTCGGAAAACATATAATCAATTATCATAATCTGTCGATTTCTGCTGAAAGAATGCGATTGAGAATTACATGAAAAATTACATGAAAAATTTACATGCATTTTAGGTATTATTGCATATTTGTCCCTTTTAAAAATATTCAAATTTGCTCAAATTCAAATTATCGATACACCATTCGAAAGTTATTAAAAAGTTAAAAATTTTAGCGTTTGAATCATGTCCATAACTTATTTTGGTGGAAAATTGTGAAAGGGTTGTGCTAGCTTGAGGTTAAGCTGGCCCAACACCATTTTTTCGCTAACCGCTTGAGTTAAAAAATTCGGATTGGTGTTAAAAAATAGTTAATTAATAGTTATTAAATACTAGATGATTTTCATTTGATTGTGCCAAAACGGCTGTGTCAGTTTTATATACCTACTTTTCTTCCTATTTTTGGTCGAAGAAGCTTTTCTTTGATTTTCCACAAACAAATTAACGACAAATTATAGAGTTCATGATAGCGCAATCCAAACATTCGAATTTTCGCTCGCACTGAGCAGCTCGCCCTATCAGCTATGGAAAGAACCATGTCCTCTAGAACGTAGCTCGGACATCTTCCCCAACACACTTGATGAATAAAATCCGCCCTCCACTGCGCCACTCGTGGCCAACCTCTGGGAACCGATAGAGGTCTACCCGGAGGGCTTTTAATATGTATATTTATTTGTATCGTTTTGTGCGTTCCATATATTTCATACATGTTAAATATTAAGGATTTTATTTATATTGAGTGTATGTCTGTGAAAGTTAAATGTTCAAATAAATGGATTTAAATGGTCGAAGAAGCCGCTGGTGAAATTGGCAGACTAATTTCGGGACACCCTGTATATGTCGGGTAATGTGAATGAAATATCCCTCTAATGGCCAATTTGGCTTCTGGCATCAACAACGAGTGTAGTACAGACTACAGAGGGTACAGAGCCTACTGTTCAAAACACCAGATTCCGATCGGCACCCGACAAACACCACTGAAACAGCGATCTCCATCAAGAAACCCGAGAGGAGACTTCAACGATCGTCGAGGCAAGAAACCCACCGCGCGATATGAAGCGAGCTTTCTCGAAGATTTCGCCTTTGCTTTGCGGCCGCTCCGTCGATGACAAGACTAGAGTCTAGCCATAGCACCATAGCGAGGTAATATTGCGCGTTGCTCGCTGCTCGCTGGGCGCCATAACTTGCAGCAACACAAAAATAAATATGAATACGAGTATGAAATTATTAGTAATTTTTTCTGTGACGGGAAGAAAGTTTGGCATTTCATCTCTGTTGGCAGGTTATAAAATGTCACTTTTCATAAATTACTTTTTTCTCGTGGAAAAAAAGTGAGTACTTTTTTCCCGGATGTATATCACATATATATTTATACTCTGTTAATGGCTTTTGTTGTGCTATAGTTCCGGAAAATTAGTCAATAATACCGTCTCCGAGAAAGAACTGCAAGTCCTTTTATCTTCCATTCGACTTCGCGTTTTCGTATATTACTAAACAACTACTGAATTCGCAATTTTTCAAAATCAAATCACAGAATTGAACTGACAGAAGTGACATCAGATATTTGATTACTTCAAAAGAATGATAAAGATGCCTATAAAACGCAGGTGTCCCTACTATTAAAAACTTGAAATTTCACGTCGATAATTTTCAGATTTCGAAATAATGTAATATCTTCTCAATATTGATTCGTCCGTCCTTCTGTCACAGAAAAAAATAGTGTATTATACACGGGACGCTACGCGTCGGGAGACAACACAACCTGGAGCTAAAATCTACTACTTTTTTCCCTTGTATAATAAATAACTATTATTCTGTCAGTTCAATTCTGTGATTTGATTTCAAAAAATTGCGAATTTAGTGGTTGTTTAGTGTACGTAACCGCGAAGTCGAATGGAAGATAAAAGGACTTGCAGTTCTTTCTCGGAGACGGTATTATTGAACAAAAGCCATCAACAGTATATATATATGTGATATATCCGGGAAAGAAGTACTCAAGTACTCCCTTCCCCACGGGAAAAAAGTAATTTATGAAAAGTGACATTTTATAACCTGCCAACAGAGATGAAATGCCAAACTTTTCTCCCGTCACATAAAAAAAAAATATTGTTTTGAAATGATATACAGGGTGTCCCGAAATTGCTGGGGCACAGCGCTACCACGTGTATAGGAGGTCAAAATAAGTTGATTGGACCCAAATATGTGACAAAATGTACCGTTTTTTCGTGAGAAGGGTTCAAAGATCACATGAAAAAACACATTTTTGAACGCTGTTCAGAAACAAGTAAAACGAATTCGATGAAATTTGGCAATAGTATATTCCAGAGGTTCAATTTTCTTCTGGTGATCGAAAAAACCTGACAGAAATTGTAGAAGGGTTAAAACCACCCTCACCCCCTGGGATTTTTTCAGAACTTTTTTAGGGGTCATAATACGGTTCTGAAATTTTCAAGACTAATCAATTACCTTCATTTTATTGCTCTTGTAAAAATTTCCTATACCGCATAGTTTCGAAGAAAAAAAGTTCTATCGAATTTCAGGGGGTGAGGCGGGTGGTTTTAACCCTTCTACAATTTCTTTTCGATTTCTTCGATTACCAAAAGGAAAGTAATCCTCCGAAATGCACTATTGCCAAATTTCATCAAATTCGTTAAACTTGTTTCTGAACAGAACAAACTCAAAATAATGGTAAAATAAATAAAGTGTGTTCGAAATAGGAACAATTATAAAAATGAAATTTTGAACAACAAAAAACAATTGAATCCTGATAAACTAAGTTGAGGGGGCGGTCAAAAATAAAAGAGAAGACTCCTGTAGTGCAAACAGTCTGATTTACGGTGAGGACGCTTTAGACGTTTCTGGTGAAACAAACATCGAATCACTTTGAAAATTCGATAACTAGTATAAACTGACATCATCTAAATAACTAAAATATATTTTCGACAATGTGGTATTGCCACTTCTATTAGAAAGTAGTAGGGACTTCAATATTTTGAATGGAGTACCCTGTATTTCATTGCATTTTTACATTCTCCCTGAAGAGCCAAATTCATCACTTGGGTTCTTGCTGGAATGACTACAGAGAAGGTGTTCTAAATCAAAAATTTTCAACTTTTTTCAGATTTTTGGGTCGAAGTAATTCTTTATTGGTCAAATCGGCTTAC